GCATGAAACGGAAAAATGCGCATAAATGCGCATTCATGCGCATGTTTCAGGTATCATGCGTGCGCATGATACCCATCGTATGTACCAGCATCTTTTCGGTTTTCGATGTTATGCTCTTTGGCGGTTTGAAAATTTTTTCGGGTTTGACTAGTTTTTTTTCTCCTTTGCTAAAATTAAATATATTTAAAATATAAATTTTCGGATAATACAATAGCCTTTATACCTACTTTTGAATCTTTTTCTATTATTTCCAGCAAGGTATTTCCAATAATCTTTAGATGTTCCGTTTTCTAAAAACAATTTATCAGCTGGAAAAGTTACAGCCATAAATATATTAACAATATAAAAATCATACGATTATCATTTTATGAAGATTGCGACTCAAACTATTTGGGACATCACAAACTAAGTGATAAATTAGCATCACATGGTTTCGGCAATATGTCGAAATCAATGTGATGCAAATTATCGCTTGGTTTGGGACGTCCCAAACAGTTTGGGTCGCATCTATAATCTGAATCAACGTTCATTTTTGTAATTTCATAAAGACTTCTAATATATCGATCATGCACTTGTTGTGCCGTTACCGTTGTATCCTTCGTGTACACAAATCTTGTGAATCTTTCAATGTTATTCCACCGTATCAATCAGGTTGTTGAAAAAAACTTGTCAACTACAGTGTACGGGTGTCAAAGACTTGCGCCCAATCGAAAAGTATCAGATTTGCTCATCTATTCTTTGAAAAAGTGTATAATTAATATACAGTACCAACTAAACCATGCGTAAATATTTCTTTAGAAGTCCCGTCTGAGTACAAGTTATTCAGTCCACAATCATGCGGTTAAGCACATGACGTTTGCAGGCAGCTACATCATAATGACCCTAGCCACCCTTTCGTGTTGAACGATCAGGCGGCAGAGTGGTAGCCTCCTGCAACACAGATAGAACACCCCCCAAAGGTAGACTCTTTCTACTGCCTCTTTTCTCACACGTATGTTGAATACGGAAGATTTGCACGTAAACCCTGGGACGTTACCGCCAGCATCCAATCTGTCCGAGGGACATCAAGCTGTCCGACCAAGATGACCGCCTTTCGTGTTGAACTACCAGGCAATGTTTGGTGGTGCCCATGCAACAAAAAGAGACGTATGTTTAAACATATATTAATGTCTTTAACTACTTAACTTTAAAGTTGAAAACTTAGACGAAACTTCGAAAAAATTTTTGATGTACAATCGCACACTTATATAAAGCAACCCTAGCAAAAATAGTAGCCGGACATAATTATCATTGTTCATGGGTTCTGAAATATCATCATCATCACAATTTTTTACCTTAAGAAAAACATTTGTAAGTGATTTTTTTACAATTTCAGAGTCCGATAAGGAATATTCTCCATTATAAGGTTCCGGATAACTATTGTATCTCGTTTCAAAAAAATTCTGACCTATGCATCGAAAGGAAGTCAGAAGATTATAAGATGTTTCTTGTAAAATAAATTTATGTCATATACTGACCTTATTTAGAGGAATCGAAAATCCTTCTCCCAAATTTTGTCGTTTTCTTTTTAATATAAGGTTGCTTTCAATCGTGTGCTCGTCTAATACATTAGATTTTATTTGACAAGCATCCTGATCCTAGATTATTTGAATAAGAAAGTCAATTAATAATTATGATTTTGCTAAGTATGCAGGCAATTCTACTAATCTCTTTTTATTTCAGTATATGGGGGTGAGTTTGAATAATTGAGATAATCACGTTTTTGTGTTTACGTTACACGAATTTGATAAACAATCCGAACCAATATTCCGGGCAACTTATTTAATCGTTACGTTGTAAAGGTCAATCTTGACCCTCCGGAAATACTGCGCCTCGACGTAGTACGATATTATATTTTTAGTTGTAGATTCTTGATTAACCTGTTTATAGTACAAACCCGTATAATTAGAAGACTAGTGTAAATCCTTCCCCATAGTTAGTATGAAATGTGGTATATATGAAATATACGACAAAAG